ATGAGAGAGAGAGAGAGAGAGAGAGGGAGAGAGAGAGAGAGAGAGAGAGAGGGCATGAGAGAGAGGGGGCATGAGAGAGCATGAGAGAGAGAGAGAGAGAGAGAGGGCATGAGAGAGAGAGAGAGACAGCACATGTGAGAGAAAGAAAAATATCAACTCCATGGTGAATCCGTTGCTGGAAAGACCCAGCATCTTCCTGGTGACTGCTTATTTAAGCAAGGGTCTCTCTCCAAACATGTTTCCAAAACAGATTGTACCCATAAAAGAACCACATTGTGTACAAAAGAACACAAGCCACAACATGGGAGCGGGAGAGGGGCTGAAAGCCTCACAATTTTTCAGGAAGTTGCTGAAAGGTGTCGAGCTGCTAAGGATGGAGATCAGCAGACATCTTGACAAGAGAGCATTCTGTATATAATTGTGGAAAAACAACTGTCCTGGATGCACCTAAACATCTGTCAGGCTACTGTAACATAGAATGTTTTTTTAATTATGATTTTTTTTTCTTTAACATCCATAAGTACCTGGTGAACAATGTCATGTCTGGGTCAATATATATCATAAACAATTCTGATAAAGATATTGCCATTTAAATATACATCATCGTAATTTTTCAACTTCTAAGATTTGTGCATACCTAGCAATTATAATATGATCTATTATATTTCAGTATACATAATACTATTTTCCCAATTTCTATTTTCTACTTCTTTTTTCTAAGACAATAAAACAACCACCATGTTAAACATCTGTCAGGGTAATGTAATGTAGAAAATTATGGTTCCATATAACTCCCAGCCTCTTTAGAAATTGTCACATTGTGTGTGTGTGTGTGTGTGTGTGTGTGTGTGTGTGTGTACATATATATATAGTGTGACATGTAAATATATATATATATTTACATGACACAAGACGAATTTGGAACAGATTAACAAGCATCTTCTCTATACAGGTAGTCCTTGATTTACAACAGTTCATTTTGTGACCAAAGTTCACAACAGCCATAATCGGGTGATCAAAATTCACATGCTTGGCCACTGACTCGTATTTATGACAGTTGCAGTGTCCCTGGGGGGTCATGTGATCCCCTTTTTCATCCTTCTGACAAGCAAAGTCAATGCGGAAGCCAGATCCACTTGTTACTAGATTAACAGAAATAAATAGATTAACAGATAATCAGAGTTGGGAGGGACCTTGTAGGTCATCTAGTCCAACCCCCCACCCAAGCGGGAGACCCTAACCCGACTAACTTACAACTGCAGTGATTCACTTAACAACTGTGGCAAGAAAGGTGGTAAAAGGGGGCCCACTCACTTAACAAGCATCTCACTTAACAACAGAAATTTGGGGCTGAACTGTGGTCGTAAGTCAAGGACTACCTGTGCACTGACTAGAATCATGTGGACTGAAATATTCAAGTCCAGAAATTGAACAACCCAGCATTTTCTTTAAAGGCCTTTGCCTGATGCTGATGGTGCAAAGGAATAGCGACCTTGAGGTCAGAAAGAGCATCGGCCCATTTCCATTGCTAAGCAAGACAGTTGTAAAGTGAGTCGTGCCTGATTTTGCCATGCTTGTTAAGTGAATCACTGCAGCTGTTAAGTGACTCACACGACATTAAGTGAACCCAGCTTGTCAGAAGCCAGCTAGGAAAGTCATAAATGGATGCTGCAACTTGGATGCTGCATCCTTCGTAAATATACAGCCATAGTGCCAGGATAGTGATTTAAGAGCTCACCAACTGCTGCAATGATGCAATGATGGGAATGAGTCAGCAAGGTTTTTGGCTGTTATCCCTTTAAGAGCCTGTTCTTCCCTACTGTAATTGCTGCTTCTTTGACCTCTGTAATTTCCTATAGTATGTGTATGCATAGTATATATTCTTTTGTAGATAAAAGCCACTATTTATTACAAACCTCTGTTTGCTGTTATTGCTCCTGGGTTGTCTCACGTAGTAAAGCTGTGCGCACTCTGATACACAGCACTAGCACTTAGACTTATATACTGCTTCACAACGCTTGACAGCCCTCTCTAAATGGTTTTACAGAGTCAGCCTCTTGCCCCCAACAATCTGGGTCCTCATTTTACCCACCTCGGAAGGACCCACCTGAGTCAACTTGAAGCCGGTCAGGATCAAACTGCGGACAGCCGCCAGAGAGTTAGCCTGCAATACTGCATTCTAACTACGGCGCCACCACGGCCACCAATATATGTTGGTTGCCCAAATGCCTGAATTTTGCTCATGTGACCTATTGCTGTGATAGTCATCAGTGCGAGGACTAGTCGTTAGCTACTTTTTCAATGCTATTGTAATATTCTCTAAATGAATAATTGTAAGATAAGAACGGCTTGTATTTTGCTTGGCCTATGGAACTTGACTCTGTGTACATATTATTGCTGAACCAGCATCTGCGTATTATGAGAATTACAGTCCTAGACAGCTTGGCAGACAAGATTGGCCGAGAGTCCAGAGCACTTTAGGGCATTAGAGATTAAAAGCTATACTATTTTCTTTAAGCATAAGTAGCGGCTCCTGTAAAAAATGAGGCTTGCATGAAAACGTGGCGTGCCAAGAACAATACCTTCCTGGCATAATTAGATTGCCACTTCAAACCTCTGTTGGTTAATGAGCCCCTACAAGAAAAAAGCTGAAGGCATTAAGATCTGTTTAGCCTTAAAAAGAGATTATTAAGAGGCAACATGTTAGCGAAAATATCTGAAGTATTGGCCTCTTCTAACAAGACTCCAGAGCATTGAATTCAAATCCCATGGGAAATGAAGAAGAAAAGGGTTTGACTTAGCTCTTATAAAAACTTCTTTAACATCCAAACAATTCAGCAGTGAACCAGTTTGGTGCCTTGGTTAAAGGCACCAGGCTAGAAACTGGGAGTCCATGAATTCTAGTCCTTCCTTGGCAACCTGGATGGCTTTGAACCAGTCCACCCCCCCACCCACTCTCTCAGCCCTAGGAAGAATATTTCTAATAATCGTCACTAAGAAAATTGCACAGACTTCAGTAAATATTGACTCAATCACTCACATACAGAGAAACAAGCTGATTAAAAATAAATTTATGTATTTCAGGGGGGAAACTATTTATATTTGTATTTAACTGGGACACGAACAGAATTGGCAAACCCATAGCCTACTTAATTGTGGACTTGCAGGATTCAGTTTTAATCTGGAAAAGATCTACGCTGTTTTAAATTAAATACTCTCCCCTGGTCAACCATGTCGGGCAAACATGGAAGAGAGAGTTAACTTCTTCCTGCTGGCAGAGAAATGTAGATACAAAGCAATCCTGCAAAAATGGGGCTTTTCTAGGTATCCTGCCTCTATTATTATTTTTTATCTCTACCCCTCTGGCCACATGGGAGGACTGAACATTGGAGAAGTAAGATGGGTAAGGAAACTTTGCATTGCTGGTGACAGTTGAATCATTGTACATGCTTAACCCCGGCAATTAAAATACTGTGGCAGCTGAGATCCTAACAAAGAGTTTCCATTTGCTTGGGACAGCTGTGATCATGCATCCCCAGTCCATGAAGTTATTTTCTGCAGAAGAGCTGCTAACTGGGCCAGATGTGGAATATGAGAAGATAATCACCATAACTATGTAGTTTAGCTCCTAACTCTAACAATCTTAAGAGTCCAACAATCCAACAATGAACAAACTCCAGGTTTAGGAATACATTAGGCCATCCTAACGGAACTACAACCCAGGTGTGTGGAGCACACATTTTCCATGAAGAAAGTCCCAGGTTTCAGTAGTGACAACTCCAATTAAGAGCTCTTAGATGGGAAGCCAGGGGGCATGATGGCTCTGGCGTTAAAGATACTGAGTTTATCAGTTAGAAAGCTGACCGCCTGGGTTTGAGACCCGAATGCTATGTGATGGAGGGAGTTCCCATTACTTGCCTCAGCTCCTGCCCACCTTGCAGTTTGAAAGCATACACATGCGAGTAGATAAATAGGTATCACTTGGGTGGGAAGATAACAGTGTTCTGTGCACCTTGGTGTATAGTCATACTGGCCAAATGACCATGGAAGTGTCTTTGGACAACAGTGGCTCCCTTGGCTAAGAAATGGAAATAAGCACCACCCCCTAAAGTCGGGCACAACTGGGCAGGAGGCACCTTTATCTCTACCTTTACCTTTAGATGGAAATTCATAGCTAGGAACCTAGGCCTTACAAAGTTAACGCCAATAAGAGTCAACTGTAATCATATCAAAAGCAGCACCACAGTCCAAGACCTCAATCTCCCGTCCCCCATCTATCCATAATTCTCCTATACCTGTTCATACATTGCCTTGGATCTTAAAGCAGATTCCAGTTGTTCTGCTCCGATTGTGTAGATGGCCGAGCGATACTGTGTGCCAAAGTCTTCATACTGCTTCATTCCTGGGGGGAGGGGAAATGAGACCACAACAATGCATGTTATCAGGCAGAAGATGACCAAACTGATTCATATTGTCCCACTTCAACCTTAGTAATAAACAGTTGCAGGGGAAAAAGTGTTATTATCCTTGAGTATTTCCACTTTATCCATTTGATTAATGGAAAGAGACAGAAATTGTAGTGTAGAAGATAGATCAGTGGTCTGACTGCATAGAAAAAATAACTTTTTTTTTTATTCTGAGGTTCCTCCCAAATTTAGGGACTAGGATTTCAAAGATCATCTAATTTTGATTTTGGTATCCATATCCAATATTTCCTTCCTGGGAAAATATCCGTGACCACTAAGCTCAGAATGGCAATTTCCAAAGTGGCAACATACGTAGTTCATATACTTGCTAGTATGACTTATAAGTATGACTTCAGCAAAAATGCCAAGTTTTCTCCAAGAATTGAATATCAAAGACAAAAGATATCCTGTGGCATTTACAGAAGAAAACATTCTGGATCAATAAACTCTTGAATTTGCTGAACCCTGATCCAGAAAATGTTTCCCAAGAATAAGATACCACAGGACTTCACTGCTTTGATCACTGCAAAAGCAGAGGTGGTATTCAGCAGGTTTGACCAGTTCTGGAGAACCTGTAGTGGAAATTTGGAGTAGTTCGGAGAACCGGCAATACCACCTCTGACTGGCCCCACCCCCATCTATTCTCCACCTCCCGAGTCCCAGCTGATTGGCTGGGTCTCCTTTTGTTCCCTTGCACAGGAGAACGGAGCTGGAAAGCAGGTTAATGGGGTGGGGAGGGAATGGGCATTTTGCAGTATCCCTTCTGTGCTATCCAGACAGTATATAGGTAATGGGAATTGAGATAGTTAAGTTAGAATTGGGAGCTGTCCCCTTAAGGGAATGCCTCATGGTAAATGTAGTTAATACATCCTGGGAAATGTAGTTCATGTCATGTGGTCACATCTGTAATCCTGATTGGTCACTGAATGACCCTTGGTTGGGTTGGGGGAGGTTCCTTCTCTCTTGCCTGGACCCCAGCAGAGTGCTGGTGCCTCACCCCCCTTGTTCCTTCGTTATGGGATGAAAAGATCACTATTCTTTTACATTATGAAGATGACTATGCAAAGATTTGGACATTGAGATGAATCTCGACATAACCGTGAGTTATATTTGAGGATGCCTGGTGAACCAATAAAGAAACTTTGTACGGAAGCCTTTGTAGAGTTTAATCTGCCTGCTTTTATATTCAGATAGTGATTAAAGGACAGAACACTTCCCCTGCCAGCCCACCAAGCTACACCCACCAAGCCACACCACGCCCACCAAGCCACGCCCACAGAACTGGTAGTAAAAAAAATTGAATCCCACCACTGTGCAAAAGGTGAACATCTAAAAGGGAATCTGTACTTTACAATAATATGCAAAAGCTTTTCCTTCAAGAGCAAATATAAAAATATAAGTAGTCCTCAACTTACAACATTCATTTAGTGACTATTCAAAGTTACAATAGCACTGAAAAAAGTGACATGATTGTTTTTCACGGTTATAACTATTGCAGCAGCCCCAGGGTTAGGTGATCAAAATTAAGGTGCTTGGCAACTGACTCATATTTATGACGGTTGCAGTATTCCAGGGGTCATGTGATCCCCTTTTGCGACCTTCTGAGAAGCAAAGTTAATGAGGGAGTCAGAGTCACTAAACAACCCTGTGACTAATTTAACAACTGCAGCGCTTCACTTAACAACGGGGGCAAGAAAGATCATTAAAATGGGGCAAAACTCACTTAACAACTCTCTCACTTAGCAACGGAAATGTTGGGCTCAATTGTGGTCAAAAGTCAAGGACTTACACGTAAAATATGAATAGCAATAGCACTTAGACTTATACACCGCTTTATAGTGCTTTACAGCCCTTTCTAAGCAGTTTACAGAGTCAGCCTATTGCCTTCAACAATCTGGGTCCTCATTTTACCCACCTCAGAAGGATGGAAGGCTGAGTCAACCTTGAGCCTGGTGGGATTCGATCTGCCAAATTGCAGGCAGCCGGCAGTCAGCAGAGTGCATTACTGCACTCTAACCACTGTGCCACTGAGGAATCATGCTAATGCAACAGAAGAGGTAATATTATAACCACCAGCGTCATTCACTCATAAGCCCAGATGGTCCATCCTCAGAATCCCTTTACTATCAGTGGATGAGTCTTAAATCTTAATCCCGATTTGAGGGCAGCGATGGAAAAAGCCTGTCTGAAGAGGAGCTCTTAGTAATCAGGGCGGGACTGCCTGCCAATAGTGGAATGGCTAGAGAAGTGGGCAGCCATATGTGGGTGAGAAGAGTTGGTTTCCCTTTTCAACCAGCTGGATGCCAGGGAAGGAACGGACCCTCCTGTCAGCTGCCATCACTGAGGGCTTATAATATGTATGTCAGCGTTCCAAGTAACAACCTCCAGAGAAAAAGACTCCGAGAATATCATCTTCCCAAAGATCCATTTGATGAGAGATGTTATATTGTCACATCTGGGGAAAACCTGAATCACTGTGCATGTGCGCGTGATTCCCTGCTGCTGCCCTTTTACCTGCACTGCGCCTCCCAGCTGATTTTTGACCTATCTGAGGCCTTTTTCAGACTGCCAGAGGCTTGAGGGATGCATCTGCAGGCTTTGCAGGTCAAAAAATGGGCCCGTTTCGTCACTTCAGGTATTTCCGGAAATACAGGAAGTGACGAAACAGGCCTATTTTTCATCCTGCAAAGCCTGCGGAGGCATCCCTCAAGCCTCTGGCAGGCCGAAAAAGTCCCGAAAATCAGCTGGGAGGCACGCGCAGTGAGGTGAGTTTGCCTGGGGCTCGTGTGCCCGCACAAATGGCTCTGCATGCCATCACGGGTCTAGATTATTGAAGAGAAGGACTGGGAGTGGGGACACGACAGTAGTCTTCCAGTACTTGAGGGGTTGTCACAGAGAAGAGGGGATTGACTTATTCTCCAAAGTACCAGAGGGCAGAACAAGAAATAATAGGTGGAAGCTTGTTAAAAAAAGATCCAACCTAGAAGTAAGGAGAAATTTTCTGACAGTGAGAATAATTAACCCGTAGAATAGCTTGTCTCCTAGGACTGCGGGTGCTCCATCACTGGAGGTTTTCAAAGATAGACTAGACAGCCATTTGAGTGGGATGCTGTAAGCTTTCTGCCTTCAGCAGTGGGTTGGACTAGGACCTCTGAGGTCCCTTGTAGCCTTGTGATTCTATATTCTATAAAGGTCCTTTGAAATGAGGTCAATTGCTCTACTCATGAACCTATGAGTTAAGGTTACGAAATTTGAGCCTTAGAAAGGTAAAGGTAAATATTCCCCTCGCACATATGTGCTAGTCGTTTCTGGCTCTAGGGGGTGCTGTTCATCTCCGTTACAAAGCCGAAGAGCCAGCACTGTCCAAAGACCACTGTCTCCGTGGTCATGTGGCTGGCATGACTAAATGCCGAAGGCGCATGGAATGCTGTTACCTTCCCACCAAAGGGGTCCCTATTTTTCTACTTGCATTCTTTATGTGCTTTCGAACTGCTAGGTTGACAGAAGCTGGGACAAGTAATGGGAGCTTACTCCATTACGCAGTGCTGGGGATTCGAACCGCCAAACTGCCAACCTTTCTGATCGACAAACTCAGTGACCATAAGGAAAATAAAAAATAAAATAAAAATATAATAAAAATAAAAAGCTACACAAGGTTAAATATGAACACAACCAGCACAAATGGGAGAACACTACAAAGTCCCAGGATTGTAGGCTAGACCAGTACCCAATTCCTGGTCCGTGGACTGGCACTCGCCCTCAGCATGCCAACATCCAGTCTCCGCAAACAACTGAAGTCCCATTCGTGGGATGCAGACAAAACCACATCCCCTCCGGTCCATGGAAAAACTTTTCTCCATGATGGGACCAATCCCTGGTGCCCAAAAGGTTGGGTGCCACTGGACTATAGAGTCCAGATGTAAACAGCAGCATGCAGCAGCTGCCAAAAAAATCCAACACAATTCTAGGCTGCATAAACAGAGGGATAGAATCAAGAGCACGTGAAGTGTTAGTAGCACTTGATGGTAAGGCCATACTTGGAATACTGCATTCAGTTTTGGTCGCTACGATGTAAAAAAGATGTTGAGGCTCTAGAAAGAGTTCAGAGAAGAACAACCAAGATGATTAGGGGACTGGAGGCTAAAACATATGAAGAACGGTTGCAGGAACTGGGTACGTCTATAGTTTAATGAAAAGAAGGACTAAGGGAGACATGATAGCAGTGATCTGATATCTCAGGGGCTGCCACAAAGAAGAGGGAGTCAAGCTATTCTCCAAAGCTATACTTCCAAACAAGGCTTTTATCTTGCAATCTCCAAGAATCACCTTGCAATCTCCAAGGATTTTAGGAAGGACAGTGAAGATATAACTTAGACCAGTGATCCCCAACCTTTTTTATGCCGCGGCCCGGTACCGGCATCAGCTGGGCGCTGCGGCCCGGTACCGGCATCAGCTGGGCGCCGCCATCTTTTTTTGATGAAAAAGTGCTTTCTACCCGGAAAAGCTCACCGGAAGCGCTGGCGCCGCCATCTTTTTTTGATGAAAACGTGCTTCCGGTGAGCATTCTACCCGGAAAAGCTCACCGGAAGCACTTTTTCATCAAAAAAAGATGGCGGCGCCCAGCAAGCCAGCGGCCCGGTAGGACTTGTTCCGCGGACCGGTACCGGTCCACGGACCGGTGGTTGGGGACCCCTGACTTAGACGGAATCATGCTATTCTCCAAAGCAGCTGAAGGCAGGACAAGAAGCAAAGGGTGGAGACTAATCAGGGAGAGAAGCAACCTAGAACTAAGGAGAAATTTCCTGATAGTTAGAACAATTAATCAGTGGAACAACTCGCCTCCAGAAGTTGTGGGTGCTCCATCACTGGAGGTTTTTAAGAAGAAATTGGACAGCTACTTGTCTGAAATGGTATAAGCAGAGATGGTATTCAGCAGGTTCCGACCAGTTCTGGAGAACCGGTAGCGAAAATTTTGAGTAGTTCGGAGAACTGGCAAATACCATCTCTGACTGTCCCCGCCCCCATCTATTCTCCGCCTACCATTGAGTCCCAGCTGATTGGCTGGGTCTTCTTTGGTTGCCCTGCACAGGAGAACGGAGCTGGAAAGCAGGTTAGTGGGATGGGAGCATTCACAACTTGCCTCCAGAAGTTGTGAATGCTCCAACACTGGAAGTTTTTTAAAAAGAGGTTGGATAACCATTGGTCTGAAATGGTGTAGGGTTTCCTGTCTAGGCAGGGGGCTGGACTAGAAGACCTCCAAGGTCCCTTCCAACTCTTGTTATTCTCTTCTATTCTAAACCAAAAAGCTCAGGAGAAGGCAGTGGCAAACCCATTTCTTAATTATGGCAAAGAAAAATAAAATTGCCTGGATGTAGCCATAAGTAAGTCACCGGGGGTCAAGCTTGACTTCAAAGAAATCTTATCTCTTTCTTTTGTGCCTGACAACGTCACTAAGGGAAAGCAATGATCCTCCGCTCTGAGGCATCTCTCCTTTTGAAATCGAGCACACAATGACGGTGTGTGTGAGGGGGGCCTGACTTCTTCCCTCCCCACGTGCTCACTTCCCTAATATCTACACCAGCAAACGTTACTCATTAAAACACAAACACACCATTACACACCCAGAGGAGGGCCCAGCCGGCAACACACAGAGAATGCTAATTTCCTCATTAAAATTACACTTCATTACAAAAATGCTCGGTCTTCCTAAGGCCTTCCACCATCCCCCCCCCCCCTTGTTGCTCAGTGTTGACGTGAGGTGGGTTACAAACAGCCCTCCACCCCTCCACTTCCTCTGGTTATTAAAAAAAAGCGGGGGGGGGGGAAGAAACATTAGAAATCCCCAGTCCCCTACCCCTTCTTTACAACTGAATTCTCAGCAGAGGTTCCCCTAAGAGCTTCTTCCCCTTTTGGGGAAGTGGGAGAAGCCATTTAAAAAGGAGTCATTTAAAGAGATACAGTAGCCTGAAAAAGGAGGTTGCCTTACAAAACCAAGAGGAGTATGTGTGATTCCTGAAGAGGAAAAACAAACAAACAAACCTCTGTCTCAGGAGTCAGGAGTGAGTTAGGCTGGAGAAAATTAGATATTCTTTGGCTGGAACCATCAAATGACTCAGCAAACGAATGGGGAAAAAGAAACGGCACGAAGAAGACGGTTAACTCCACTCAAGGAGCTGTATAAGGGTTTTCAATCATTCGTTTTAGTGACAATACCGTAACGGCATTGGGGGGGAAAAAAGTGACTTATGACCATTTTTCACCCTTATGACCGGGGAGGCATTCCCCATGGTCACGTGATCAACATTTGGGCAAACGGCATGTGTTTATGATGGTTTTAGTCAGTGGTAGGATTGAAAAAAAATTGTACTACCAGTTCTGTGGGCGTGGCTTGGTGGTGGGTCATGGCTTGGTGAGCGTGGCAGGGGAAGGATATACTGCAAAATCCCCCTTCCCTCCCCACCCCACTAACCTACTTTCCAGTTCCGTTCTCCTGTGCAGGGCAACCAAAGAAGACCCAGCCAATCAGCTGGGACTCAACGGGAGGAAGAGAAGAGATGGGGGCGGGGCAGTAGTGGGATTCAATTTTTTTTACTACCGGTTCTGTGGACATGGTTTGGTGGGTGTGGCGTGGCTTGGTGGGCATGGCAGGGGAAGGATACTGTAAACTCTCCATTCCCTCCCCACTCCTGAGGGAAGGTTACTGCAGAATCTCTATTCCCTCCCCACCCACTAACCTGCTTTCCAGCTCCATTCTCCTATTCAGGGCAACCAAAGAATAGATGGGGGCAGGGCCAGTCAGAGGTAGGATTGGCCGGTTCTCTGAACCAATCACAATGTCCGCTACAAGTTCCCCAGAACTGGTCAGAATGGTCAGAATTGCTGAATACCACCTCTGGTTGCAGTATCACAGGGTCATCCAATCCCCTTTTGCGACCCTCAGACAAGCAAAGTCAACGGGGAAGCCAGATTCACTTAACAACCATGTTACTAACATGTTACACTTAACAACCATGTTACAGCAGCGGTGATTCACTTAACAACTGGGGCAAGAAAGGTTCACAAAGGAGGGAAGCACTCACTAAAAATTTTGGGCTGAATTGTGGTCATAAATAGAGAATTACCTGTATTCAAAATACCCAAGCAGCTTTCCATTCAGGCATGACATCTCTGTAGAACTGTGTCTCTGCAGCATTACAGATTTTCAGGCTAACCAGAAGCAAGCAATTTTTAGTCTCTAAAGCTTCCCATTCTTAGCCCACCTCGCTCAATTTAACATACTCCGCATGCAGGTAGAACAAGAAATCCTTTTTTATCAGGAGAACAATCTTGATTATTAGGACTGAATCTGGCTTTTCCAATGGCAATTCAATATTTTGGGGGAATATGATACAGATTTCACATGTCTGCCTTTCCAAAACGGTGGGAAGTCATGACATTGATTTTCAGCAACTGAAAAACTTACTGGTGAAATTGGAGGGAACTCCACCACCAGAGAATTATTTTCAGAGTATGGATTTAGTACACCCATAAACTGACCAAGCTTAAATGAAACAGGCCTTTGATCGGTCCAGGTATAACAGTGTTTAAAACAGTGTTTAAGCATCTAAAAATATAATATTAGAATCCTATTAATATAAAATCATAGAACTAAGAAAGGCAAAACCCCATCAATAGGTTCAAAAGACATGAGAAAATTGAGAATCAAATATGAAAAGATGGCAAGAATGTACTATAGTGTGCAAACACACATAGTCATCACATACTAAATTATGTTCTTCCTTCTTCAGTGCATTGTTATAGTAGTCTTGTTTCCTATAAGTCAGTCTACAATTCTTTCTTCCCAGCCACCATGGCTGTTGATAATCTATAAATTACAGTCTTCCATAATTGATCTGGGTGGTTGAAGAATCATAGGGGCTGTAATCCAAGAAGCTGCAGGGTACCGTACAAGCAAAGCTGCCTCAGGATTACTTGCAAACATAATTCCTCTTGATTTGCTAGAGCGGTGTTTCTCAACCATGGCAACTTGAAGAAGTGTGGACTTCAACTCCCAGAATTCTGGGAGTTGGGGAAGGTTATCTTATGTAGTTCCATATAAAATAGGTCTTTGAAGAATTCTGGGAATTGAAGTCCTTTCCTGACCCTAGATTTTACCTTGGGTTGGATCGTGATTCTCCCAGAAAAATCGGAGGAGCTTTTCATAGCTGATCTTCTGTGGGTCAAACACTACACGGACCACCTCCGCATGTCCCGTCATTCCTAGAAACAGAATGGAGAGAATCACCCAGTTAGAGCTTCTTTTTTGAGCTTTGCAGTTGTTACAACTGGAAATCCGCCCAGTTGTTGAGCCAAATTGATGCTGCTGAGCCTTCTGTCTTGCAAATTAAATTCTATGCTACAAAAGCATAGGTAATCCTTGAGTTATGAACATTCATTTGGCAGCCATATGAATTTACAGCAGCACTGGAAAAAGAGACTTACAGACATTCAGTTCTTGACAGAAGTGGTATTTAGCTGGTTCTGACCAGTTCTGGAGAACCGGTAACAGAAATTTTGAGTAGTTCGGAGAACTGGCAAATACCATCTCTGACTGTCCCCGCCCCCATCTATTCTCCGCCTACCATTGAGTCCCAGCTGATTGGCTGGGTCTTCTTTGGTTGCCCTGCACAGGAGAACGGAGCTGGAAAGCAGGTTTAGTGGGCTGGGGAGGGAATGGGGATTTTGCACGCCCACCAAGCCACACCATGCCCACAGAACCGGTAGTAAAAAAAAATTGAATCCCACCACTGATTAGTTTCCATCCATTCCTTCTGGTGCTTTGGAAAATAGCTTGACGTCCCCACCCGCTCTTCTTTGTGGCAGCCCCTCAAATATTGGAAGACTGCTATCATGTCATCAAGTAGACCACCAGCTACTTCTTGGCATGCTTCCCGAAGCAGATAATATTCATACCGCAATTTAAGAGCAGCACTGCAGGGGTTAATCCAGAGCCTTCATCCCGCTTGGAAACACTTGACACATTCCCATTAGATTAATATCTCCTGTCTAAAGGAGGAATTTCTCCTTTCACTGCTGAATCCTCATTCCCCCCGTGGAGTTTGAAATTCTCATCAGAGATGTATTCCCCTGGAGCGGTTTCTAGTTAATTTTGCTCAAGCAAGCCCGCTGACCCTCCTATGGTAATTAGGAGGGGAGAAAAGGGAAGGAGGAGGAGGAGGGAAGGGGTGATGTTCAATTCCACCGGCAACCAGGCAAGAAGCTGGTGAACATGCCATGCCTCCTGTGCTGGGCCCTGCTGCAGCCAAGGAGAACAGGCAATATAAAAAAGAGACTGGCAGTGATTGATTAGGGTGAGAAGGGGGGGGGGAAATCTTGTACTCGCTGGCTTTCCCGCTACAAGAGAAGCAAAGAGGACAGGTGACCGAGCCCTGTTTGGGTCTCCCAACCACAATGCAGTGGAAGCAAGTAAGGCAATGTAGTTCTTGTCCCTCCACCCCACCCAGAGGTGGCATTCAGCAGGTTCTGACCAGTTCTAGAGAACCAGTAGCAGAAATTTTGAGTAGTTCGGAGAATTGGCAAATCTCACCTCTGACTGGCCCTGCCCCCATCTATTCTCTACCTCCCCTTGAGTCCCAGCTGATCGGCTGGGTCTTCTTTGGTTGCCCTGCACAGGAGAACGGAGCTGGGAAGCAGGTTAGTGGGATGGGGAGGGAATGGGGATTCTGCAGTATCCTTCCCCTGCCATGCCCACCAAGTCACACCAGCCACGTGCACCAAGCCACGCTCACAGAACCGATAGTAAAAAAAAATTGAATCCCACCCCAAATTCTACTGGTTTTCCTAGGCGGTGCTTTCCAAGTGGGCTGGACTACCAAGCCCACAACACCCAGAACCTGGTAGTTGGATATGACCTTGGCCTGATAGTCCAGGCATCGCCTGTCGTCCAGAAAAGCTGAGGAACGTTCAGAATAAATAACAGAATAATGGAATTGGAAGAGACCTTAGAGGTCTTCTAGTTCAACCTTCTGCTCAAGCAGGAAAGTCTATACCAATTCTGGACAAACGTCTGTTCTTCAAAATCTCCAGTGATCTCCAGCACAACATAGGAGAACAAACACATCAGGACTAGATTCAGCCGTCCACCTGCATTTAAAAGACACAGGCCACTCCTTTGAAGACGACAAAGTCTTGGACAGAGAGGCCTCCTGGTTTGAAAGAGGGGTCAAAGAGGCCATCTATGTCAAAATTGAACAGCCCTCTCTCAACAGAAGGGGAGGGATTATCTATCTCCAATCTACAACATAGTTCTTTCAACAGCTCCAAGAAGGCTCCGCACCAATTTGCACCACTCAGGTGACCCTGATGACACAGATAAGCCTCCAGGTGGCCTCAACAAACCACTAAAAGGATGCAAATGACCAGCTGTCTGCAAGGAGTATAAATCCTTCCATTCTCCACCATCCAGTCAGAGCCGAAGAAGCTTCTTGGACGAGAAGCAAAATGTCTTCAAAGAAAAACCAGAAAGTCCAGCTGCCTCTTGCAAAAAAAAAAAAAAAAGCATCTTTGGGATAATCATAACCTGGATGACTGAGAATCTCCACAGACCTCCAGTGATGGAGCACCCACATCTTCTGGAACCAAGCTGTTCCACTGGCTAATTGTTCTCATTGTCGGTAAATTTGTCCATAGTTGGTTCTCTCCTTGATTAATTTCCATTCATGTTCTACTAGGGCGGTCATTTGCAACAATACCAGTAGAGGGGAATATCTATAGCTCAGGATAGACCATAGAGTCCTTGGTTCTGTCTGAGCTTGGTTGCTCTCTCAGCTCAGTTCTCCAAGCAAGAAACCAACCAAGCTCTGGGAGCACCAAGGACTCCACATCTGCAACAATAGCAGCCCCCAAGGCAGCCTGCTACAATCAGGTTCAAACACCCTAACTTGCACAGCTACATTATCTCTGCCCTCTGCTGCACTCAAGAGGGAATTGCATACCTGCGCGACAACTATCCCGTTACACTACGTTGGAAAGGAACTCCCAAGCGGCAGAAGAATCTGAAAGCAGGAAGGATGAGGTTCAAAAGGGAAGTGGGTCCCAAATTGAATATCTCCATCCCAAAACTGTTTGAACTAGATCAGAGGTCTCCAAACCTGGCAACTTTAAGACTTGTGTACTTCAACTCCCAGAATTCCTCAGCCAGCCTAGCATTCTGGGAGTTGAAGTCCACAAGTCTTAAAGTTGCCAAGTTTGGGGAACCCTGAACTAGATCAGGTCCATTCGTGCAGAAAGTAAGGAAGATGATCTTGATGGAGATAAATAGGAACCCTTTCCCAGTCAAAAAGGGCTGGAACATTATTTATGCCCAAAACATTCAGATAACATTCAGAAGCAGGTCAGGAAGACAACCCCTTGATTCACAGGAAAAATCAGAAGGAAGAGGAGATTTAGCCCAATCCAACCAGCAAATTCTGTTATCACCTCAATAAAATTAGTTTTAGCCTTCCTGGGTACTTGATTCTCTGGTTCTATTGGAGTGCTGGAACATTTAAATCCTCATGATATGATGCCAATCAAGATAGGAGACTTACCCATCAGGATGTCCCAAAGGAGCTTTTTCAAGAGGCAATTGGTCTTTTTCTGGTTTTTCTTTGAAGATATTTCGCTTCTCATTCAAGAAGCTCTGACTGGATGGTGGGGAATGGAAGGATTTATGCTCCTTGCAGACAGCTGGTCATTTGCATTCTTTAGTGCAGGGGTCTCCAACCTTAGCAACTTTAAGACTAGCGGACTTCAACTCCCAGAGTTCCTCAGCCAGCAAAGCTGGCTGAGGAACTCTGGGAGTTGAAGTC